TGGCCACAGATATTTTAAGCCATTCATGTGAAGTTTTGAAATTTTTTCTTTTTGCTTATTTTTATTTTTTTGGCATCTAAAAAAATTAAATTTATTTCAAAGTGGGTAGCATGTATTTTAAGCCATTCTGTAAAGTTTTGAAATTTTTGATTTTTTTATTTTTTTCGACACATAAAAAAATTTAAATTTCGCTCAAAGTGGATGGCCACAGGTATTCTAAGCCATTCGTGAAATTTTGAAATTTTTTATTTTTTGCTTTTTTTAATTTTTTTCGGTATCTAAAAAAAATTAAATTTCGCTCAAATTGGGTGCGCGTGTATTCTAAGACATTCATGAAGTTTTTAAATTTTTAGATTTTTTGATTATTTTTTATTTTTGGCATCTAAAAAAATTAAATTTCGCTCAAAGTGGGTGGCCATAGGTATTCTAAGCCATTTTGTGAAATTTTGAAATTTTTGATTTTTTGACTTTTTTTTATTTTTTTTCGGCACCTAAAAAAATTAAAATTTCGCTCAAAGTGGGTAGCCACAGATTTTAAACCATTATATGAAGTTTTGAAATTTTTGATTTTTGCTTTTTTTTTCCCACCTCAAAGATCGTGACTTCAGGATAACATGTGTTTTAAAGAAAGAGTTCTCTCGGAAATGATTCTCATTTTTGGTCTAGAAATAGAAAACCAACTTTTTTTTGTTCTGATTTCTGATTCAGAATCGGTTCTGGAACAAAAACTTGTCCCAGAAATAGAAAAATGAAAGTGCGTTAACAAACGGGTTTCTGGTCCAAAACTGATTCTGGGAACAAAAAATTAGTTCTGGACAGAACCAGAATGGTTATCATGCGGTACCTTAGTTTACATGGCACGTGGATAAATTACTCAGCTCGGTCAACGGGTCAACTGGCAAAGCCTCCCTTCGACGCTGACGGTCGAATCTGGGCCGTCGAATCGGCAGGGGAGGTAGGGGGGGGGGGGGGGGGGGGCGCGCGTGCCGTCCGATCCGGAGCACGCGACCGATCTTCGCTTTTTTGTTTGTGTGTTTTGGCCACCCCGTCCTTTTTCTCCAATCTGCGGGAAAGGCAAAATAATTACTTGGAGATTCAGGCGTGGCCGAGAAAAGATTCACCCGACCAAAAAACAAAAATCACAATAATTTTCTTTTAATTAATAATGCCCCCGACACATCACTGCACTCGCCCCAGTTGAAAAAAAGAACACAATGATCGGTTAAAAGTAACGCCAACCTTTTCCCCCCCTCGCGATTTTTTTACCATACGCACCGTACCCTTTGTCTTTTCATTTATCCATCTATTTATATATGTTCTCAGGTTTTTTCTCTTTTCTTTTCTTTCTTTTCTTCTCTTCTTCCCAATTGAATTGACCATTCGCGAATTTGCGTGCGCGTGGCTTGATTTGTATCGAAGTTTAATACCCACTGAAAATCGCGATCACGTCTCGCGAAAAGCCTCCGGTTGCTCACGAGAGACACGTTCACCCAAAACTAAGAGGAATGCCGATTTTGGGATTTTTCGTTGAGGCGTAAATCGGTTTGGAGTAAATGCGCGGTGAGTAAAGTTTGGATTTTTTTTTTTTTAGAAACGAAAAGGTAAGCTTCGTCGAATATACGATCGGGCCGGTTTAGAATTTTTAATGATGTTGACCATCTTGTCTATTTGGTTCACTTTCAAACCATTACCGTTCATTGTGTACTATAAAAGCATGGTCAATAGCTATTAAAAAGCATTATGAAATGACACTCGTAAGAGAACACTAGTCAGTCAAACCAAGAAAAAAAGTAAATTTGATGTCTATATGTACTTACTACATATATTCATGTTGGTACTTTTAGTTTGTGTTTGACCCAATAAAAAGATTGGTTTGTGAATTCTATTTACAACCTGTGGAGAAGTATTATTTTTTAAACTGAAAACAGGAGGATATCTATTGGGTCGAGCCTAAAATTATTTAGGGCAGAGGAAATATTTATTTTTGGCGAATTACATGTTAAAAGATCATATAAAAAAGGTCATTCGCATCATCATTTCGTCAATTAGGCTCGACCTAGGAAAAGATCAAATTGAAATAAAAAAATGATGTGATTTTTGCCATATTGTCTATCAAATTAGAAGAAGCTAAGGACTCTCAATCTATTTCGTAGATCCCTTTGTTATAATTGGGGTGTTCCTTGTTAAAAATGTATAAATGCTACAACGGGGCATGCAACTCGTAAGCAAGCTTTAGTTCACTCGTAAGATTGTAATGTACAATACAACATACTCATAAAGGGAAAACAAACAATAAATCAACAAATTGAATACATCGATTTAGGTCGATCATCCGTTTCTCAATTTCCGTTGAACACTTCAATTCAAATCACGAGAAGCCTATCGTCGAGGCCCCGGATTATAGGGCAATGGCAAGCGAGCAAGGAAAGATTGGGGATTTTCAAACTCGGCAGAATCTAAACAGGACGAAATCAAATGTTCGATATTCTAAAGACCAATAGCGAGTCGAGTTTAAGATCAGCCATGAAAAACCCGGTCAGATTTTTCTATTTTTCTAGGCCAAGAAACTTTTCTATTGTACTTGTTCTAGGTTTTGTTTGGCCAAGAAATGAAAGTCATTACTTAAAAAGCTAGAGCAAGAACATGATCCTGCCCATTTTAAACAAGGAAACCTGATCTATATAACTCCTTTCTTTTTCTTAATAATCTAAATGGAGTAAAACCAAAGTACATAATGTAAAAAAAAAGGGTGCACCAAGCTTTAATTTAGAGCTTTGTCTCGTTTAGCCAAGAATGAATGAGAGACCAGGCTGGTTGTTTGGCCAAAAAACGATAGAACCCTTCCTTCCTTCCACTTCAATGGCGCTTCAGACAACGTTCTGATCACGTACTGTGGACGCTTTTATTTTTCCCATGTTGAATTGTGATTGTTCCATGTCAGAAGGGGTTTTTCCTCCTCTCGAGTTCCTAGGGTTTTGTTCTCTTGCTGTCCTCTTCAATGGAGGGCTCTCCCTCCTCCCTCCTGCTCCTCCCTTTCTTCCCCCCACCCACCAGCAGCCCATTGATTGTCTAAATGTGGTGGACCATCTCCTGCACGTAAAAACGCCACGACTGATGGTAAAATCTTTCGATGACAGATCTGGGTTTTTGTCACTGAGTTGATCACCATCTGCCATGGAAAGTCGCTCCTTTTTGTTCAATCCCTTTCTGTGGTGGTGCTGCACTTTTCCCCCCTCTCTCTCTCTCTCTCTCTCTCTCTCTCTCTCTCTCTCTCTCTACATCTGTTTTCCACCCTTTTCCGTAGTCCAAAACATATATTCAGGCGATGTACTCTGATTTCCTGTGATCGGTAGGGTTTGCATGTTTATAACAAGTCTTTGATACGATTTCCTCTTTAAAATTGTTAAAAATATAAAAAGATAGAAGCCATGCATTAAGAAATAATGAAAAGTTATGTCGGTCCATGTGCGTTCGATGCATTTGTTTCATGAAATGAGAGATGTGTATAAGGTTTCCGGTCAACTTATATGCTTGAAATTGTCGTGGGACCAACATTGAGCGCAAAATATGAAAAACCCTAAAGTATTCTTAGTCAACAGTGATCGTGATTAGTTCGTTATCGGCACAGATCCCGACGTAGAGAATGCATTCTGCCGTATCAATCCCACTCGACAACAATGATCACGATGAGCTTGTTATACCATATCGGTTGTGTATTTGAATTACATACTATTATAAGTCCGATTAATTTTCTTCTAAGATAACTATTCTACGCCGGTCTTTTTCCGACCCCTTTTATTACATCATATCGCGTTTCTTTGATTAGGGTTCCATGGCGTACGTATGTAATATTTCCTCGCATAAGAAAAACACAAACGATTTTGAGCGTACATAATTTTATGTATGTTTGGAGGCTACGTGTGAAATACTGAAGTCCAAAGCAAAGGGTAAAAAAAGCCAAAAGTCACAACGACACCAAATACATAATTACTTCTCTCTATGGTTATTTTGCTTTCATTAACATTTTCTAAAATTCCAAGTCATATATATGAAAACAAAAACATGGGTGGGGAATTTCTCAGTGGGCTGAGCCTGAGTGGCATCGTCTTTGGTTCAACGATGTAATAATGGCCGAGAAATGATGCCGAGTGAGCTGTCGGTGGTGTGCTGCTGTTGTACAGGATTCAGAGAAAAATCGGGCAAATGACGAAGTTTGAATCAACTAAACAATGACATTGCTCCTGGCCTCATTGTCAGTGCATGTGGTAATTTGAATCTCCAGCATGCATTCAATGTTCATGATTTTCTCAAATATTTACCCGTTGATCCGTTTAAGATCATAATAATCGTCGAAACGTAATGCCAGATTCCAGGTCAAAAGTTACTCGCTTCTCGTAAGATGATAGAAATTTATCCACGATGATCAAATATTGCCGAGACATATGATCTTTCTATTTATATTACACTATTGCTTTTAAAAGTTTATTCCTCCATTTTTTTTTTAAAACTAATATAGGTTTCTTGCATTTTGTAATTGCGGATTAGGGTTTAATGTGATAAATTTGTCGTGTGCTTAAATTTGGTAGATAGAATATTTTATATGTCTTTTATATTCTTAATATTACTCTCTCTGTATCTCAAACTAAAGAATGCCCACTTCATCTATTTTATGAGTTAAATAAAAATATCCATTTTCATAATAGAATAGCCATGTCTCCACGACATTCTTTTACACTTTCTTTTTTTGCGGTCTCTCTTTTCTTTAAGAGGACATTCTCTTGCCTTGATGCATGATACAAATTGACATTTGACAGTACATCTTGAGCCAGGTGCAACTTCCTTGTCCTGGAACAAAATTCATCCGTCTTTTGATGCAGTGCTATGCAAAACATAGAATAATAAAAATAGAATATAGAATAAAAGTTTGCCATAATGAAAGAGAAAATGAAAAAAATAAAGAAATTGCAAATGAAAGGGGCGCTATAGAGAGGTCAAAGAAGCTTCTTTTCTGTATCAACAGAGCAAACCAGCTCACTCTCTGTAGAGCTAACCAGACCAGAGTGACTGCTTCTCACTACTCTCTCTCTCTCTCTCTCTCTCTCTCTCTCTCTCTTAACAGTTTAATCTCTGCTTCTCCCTCACATATCTCTTCTTCCAACTTTCATCTCTGCAAACTTGGAGCTTCTTTTGGTTTTGAGTAAAAAAAAAAAAAAAAACTTGGAGCTTCTTTTGGTTTTGAGTAACTTTGATGTCTCCACCCTTAGAACATGATTACATAGGCTTAAAAGAGACTTCTTTAATGTCAAGAAGCTCTGAGAAGGCCTTACCCTCTTCTTCGTCAGGCGAAGATGAGAAGAAATCCTCTCTTAACCTCAGAGCAACCGAGTTAAGGCTTGGCTTGCCCGGTTCTCAGTCTCCTGAGAGGAAACAAGCTCTTGGCGTCTCTCTGTTTGGCAAAGATTTGGAGAGCAAGAGCAGTGTTTTGGGTTTTGCTCTGAGCCCTTCCAAGAACTCGGTTTCAGGAGCCAAGAGAGTGTTCTGTGATGCCATTGATGGTTGTCCCAGTAAATGGGTGTTCTCTGGGGGCAACTGTAAATCTGAGGTTGATTTGGCCAAAGGAGGTCCTGTTTTGTTGTCTCCAAGAAGTGGCAAAGAGAGTGATAATGGGGTTAACACCCTGCAACCCTGTGTGTCAAAACCAGCCATGAAAGAGGGTCTTGGTGGTGTTCCTCAATCTCCAAAGCCCGAGCAAGAGGAGAGGAAGAATCAAGGTGCTGGTGGGAGTGAGCATGGCTCTGCTCCAGCTGCAAAGTGAGCTTCACTCTTGGTTCATTTCTGGAGTCATACCCGGCTTTTTGGTTTTTCTTAATCCCGTTTTTCAAATTTTTATGAGTGTTTTTGGAATTTTGTGATCTTGTGATGACTGAAGATGAATAAGCTTTTCTCAATGCTTTCTGCAGTTTTTTTTGTTTTTTGGTTTGTTTGTTTGTGCAAAGTTATTAGTGAAAGGATCCATCTTAACCAGGGCTGATAACCGGCCCATGATTTTCTTCTTATTTGAGTTTTGCTGTGCTTGAGCTTACACAGTGCTGAATTTTCTCAGTTATCTCCATATATGCCTGATTCTTGGGCAATTCCCCTTTTCACTCCCCAAAGTGTCATATGCTTCAAACTGCCTTATGACCCAAATAAGGCCATAAAAGATAGTTACTTGTTTTGGGATCAACTTCTTTATAGTTTATTCTTGTGTGCACCATTTGGGTCTTTGTTAATAATTACAAAAGGAGAGTCAAAACCTTTCTCTCAGTTAAAACCTCTATTTGTTAAATAGTCTAAAAATCAGAAATTGGAGGCTGATCATACTGTATTCATTCACTGAGATATGCCCACCTTCGGTGTACTCACCTTCAGAGATTTTAGTTTTTAGTTTAAGTAGGCGCTGAACGTGCAAGTGGGCATGCGGTTTAACAGGGCACAGGTGGTAGGTTGGCCACCAATTCGATCGTTCCGCAAGAACACCACGGCCTCTACTTTGGCGAAGAACAGCGACGATGCGGAAGGCAAATGCCTCTACGTGAAGGTTAGCATGGATGGAGCTCCCTATCTGAGGAAGGTCGACCTCAAAAACTACAGCAGCTATTCGGAACTCTCCACTGCTCTTGAGAAAATGTTTAGCTGCTTCACCATCGGTAAAATTTCCGACCCATTTCATTAGGGACTCGAGCAGAGAAACTCACTCTGCACACTTACTACAGAAGATTTTAATGAGATGAACGCAGTGGCGCTCGTTTCAATTATGACAGTGTTTACTTCACTGTCTTTCACTTCTTGTTGTCTATGTGTACACTCTGTACAACTAAGCTTTCGAACAATATTTGTTCTTTTGAATTATCAGTGAGTTTTCATGTCTCATTCGGGTATTTGGCTTGTGGATGCAAAATGCCTTCCTTTCAGAAGGTGCTAAGATTATCCATGCCTTGACTCGTATTGCGAATGGCAGTATCAGGGCATTGCGATTCTCATGGGCCTCCGGGGAAAGAAAGCCTGAGTGAGAGCCGTTTGGCAGACCTTCTCAATGGTTCTGAATATGTTCTCACATACGAAGATAAGGACGGCGACTGGATGCTCGTGGGCGACGTTCCCTGGGAGTAAGCACTTCTCCTAAAATTAACTCATGGGCATTTTCTACTTTGGACATGATTATTCTGCGGCATGACTTGATTTTTTAAGCTCTTGAAATAAAGAAGATCCGGGTTATCTAAGGGCCTGTTTCTCTTTCTTCTTCTGAATCCTCTCTACATATGCCGTCTTCAGGATGTTCACTGACTCATGCCGAAGACTAAGGATCATGAAGAGTTCTGAGGCAATTGGTCTAGGTACTGATTCTTTAACGCACATGCGAGTTTTTATCGACTGGGCAATTCATTTACTTGGACCTAATGTCACTGGCCAATTCTTCGCTCGCAGCTCCGAGGGCCACAGAGAAGTGCAAGAGCCGGGATTAGCGTGCATGGCGCTACAGATTTCCTCTAAAAAGGATTTTGAGTCGTATAATTTTATTGAATTCCTATGTATGGTGCTAATTGTCCTTTGAAGCTTTGGAAAGTCCTTGGAATGGAAGTTTTTCATTCGAATCATGTCTAGATCATATGTTTGTTTTTCTGGTTCCTATGATGTTGCATGTCCGAATTGCTGTTGATGTAAATGGTCTGCTTGCTGCTTATGACTCTCTCTCTCTCTCTCTCTCTCTCTCTCTCTCTCTCTCTCTCTCTCTCTACCCCGAGTTTCATGGTTCATCATACATCAAGAATCATGAGAGACTACACATGGCTGAAAATTACATGGGCTTTCGTGATTTGATTTGTGAAATGAGATTGATTCTGTCTAATGACCATATCTTTACACATGGGTCGACCAAGTCCACATTTTTTCCACTTTGCCTCCACTAGCTGACTTCATTGACCACTTCCTTAGGTTCCAGTTGCCATTTGAACAAAGTCTGAATTCAATTCACACCCCGGAACTTCTCTTCCATTTTCTTCCTCCTGTTTCGGGAGACGGTTCCTGATTTCTAAAACCCATCTCGATAAGTAATAGAATGGAGAGGTTTGATCCTCACTTGCATCATTGAAGGCGAAGGGCCAAGTCTCGAAGGCTGAAATCTTCTGTGTCTCTGTTACTAGCGTTCAAAATACATACACGAGGTCTGGATTCCAGATTACTGCCATTGTACTGATTTGATGGTTACTGACATTTCCACTGAAATACGTGTTCCGTTCGAGTGGAGAATCAGAAGAGTGCAGTGTTGTTCTGATGTATCTTCATTTAATCTTCCAATTATTCAATCGTTCCGATGAGGATATCGGCACATTCTCCTCATATCTACAGCCTTGATCAAGGATCCAGGCCATCAAACTCAAATGTAAAATTCTAGGGTGTCGCCAAAATCCACAGCACCAACAAGCCAGAGAAAGAATGTTAAAGCATTTCATTGCGGCAGACCATTCCGAGAACTGGAAATAGAGAATACAGCAGAAGTAAAATGAACCTAATAACTAACACTGCAGCAACGTGAAAAAACCAAGCCTAACTAGTATTAACACGAGTCAAGTCTCGAGAAAGAAGGCAAGGCAGTGTGTTACCGTATTCTCTCATCAGTGTTAAGACTATTGTTTTGACACCTCAACATATACCATCTGAGTGTATCCGTTAAATATAGAACGATCGAATCCCGTCAAGCCAAGCCGCTGAAATAAGCGAAACCGACCATCTTCCACAATCGGAGGGCTGGTGCGAGCGGGATCATATCGCGATTGATGTGTGAGAGAAGGGCCGGCAACGGGAGGGAGCTCCCAATATATGTCAAGCACTGACTCGAGGAATCGGCTGTTTTGAAAGTGCTGTGTGTAGGAGATGGGTTCATTACTGTGGTTGAAGTTATCGCGCATATTGCCTCGAACACCCCACCAAGCTTCGCCAGGACCACATAATTCATCTGTTTCCACTGCCTTCTCCCAGAACTTCTTTCTCTTCGCTCTAATTCTGGCTTCATCGCTAAACTTAAGGCAGCTGTGGCCACCCCCTGAAAGACATTGCACAACAAAGGGAATCAACAACTAATCCTGATTATCCCAAAATGAAGAGAACCCTAATTCTCTAGTTCAATAAGAGATAAAGGAGAGCTGTAGCACCTGTAATATAAAATTGGTCACAGATCTGCCTTAAAGAGTAATGATCACCAGTCCCAGTATCGTAATTGTCCTCAAAAACAAGATGCCTGAAGCCAGCTCTCAGTGCTTGCTTGAGCCTGCAATTGAAAGATAGGTACAAGAGCAATAACAGGTAATCCGATTGCAATGAAAAGAGTTAGCTTCTCTAGCACGAATGGAACCAAAAGGATAGGGATTCAAATGAAATAGGTCACACTATACCTTTTCAACTCATTTTGATGATCGTCGAAAAAAATAAGAACACGACTGAGATCAGTGATTCCGTGTTTCTTCATCACAGTTTTCCAGTCCATGCTTCCAAAATCAACGAAGTCCTTCCCAGCAAAGTACGTGCAGTTACCATCAACGTAAGCGGGGCCCTTCTTCAGGTACTTCTCAGGGTGTCGGGGTGAAAGTGAAATGATTGGAGTATCTGGCATTGCTTGCCGCAAGACCCAAGTCGAATGACCCTTAAAAGCACCACTCTCTATCATGAGATCTGGCTTAAGCCACCGTGCAATGAACCACAAGCCAAAGCTGTGATCAAAGCCCATTCCATACATGTTGTTCTTGATTGGTCGGGTTTCATATATAGGTACAAATTCTTCCAACCCCTTGAGCAAATCCTTGGATGTCCATTCAACATTTTTTCCATGTTTCGGTCTGCCTTTTACCAAGTAGAAAAATCAAATGAGTAGGTACTCCAACTAAATTCATCTATGAAACAACAAATCATCAAATTGTAAGCGGCGGGACATCAAAGGTTGAGTAAATCTATAAATCAAAAGCTGAAAATGAAAATATTTGCAGGCCTGGGTTTTCTTAATCCCAGCTCAATTTAACCAATTTGAGTGCAATACAGGTGAATTTAAAGCTTATCAAGTGAACTTCTGTCTACTTATAAATTCCCCTTCAAGTGCCTGCCATTTCATGCGCATGTGTAAGAAGAGATGCAGGTACACCGATGACTACTGATGCATAATTACAGACTAGCAGCATAGACCTTATATATCATATATTCCAGTTTTGCGTATTCCATCAAAAGCCAGAACTACACTAAATTCAATTCTGAGGATGATAACTTCACACTGCATCAATCAATTCTTTAGAAGCTCCTGAGCAGTAAGCAGCAGAAAGGAGCAGCACCTTGATTGCTCTCGTCATAATTAACTCGTATAAACTTCGACATAAAAATTTATTCGCCAAATTCAATGAAAAACGGAATAGTGGCGTTTACTACACAATCAATCAAGATACAAAATTTCATCGGTTCGATATCCGATACTGCACAATAAAACCAAGCACAACATTCATGATTAAACTGCAACGGAGCTAGCACACCAAAGCAAATTTCATCAACCTTAAAACACATCAAATTTCTCTCGTCACAGTAAATTGATGAAAACGTCGGCAGATCAAAATAATCTAATTGAGTTCAGTTTAGATGTGATGATGGTAGATTATGCAGACACGCAAATAATCAACACCAAATCTCCTACATTTCCCATGTGCGCACAGGAATTACCTTAGGCACGAGATTCATGATGAGATAACACGAGAAGCAACAAATTAAACCGCGTTTTAGTCCATAACACTTAAATGACGGTCCAACGACCAGAGGCACTACTTGGACATTTCAAAAATTCATTTCTCTATCATCTTTCAAGCCACATTTTTGCACATTTGGAAGACAATTTACCAAGAACGGGCATTATAAAATTGAGCTTCCACATACACACAAATTGAGACCAAAACATTATGCATTACCTTGCTCTTAGATTCAGCAATCAAACCAATCCCACTTTCACACTCAAAAATTGAAAAAGCTAACAAGACCAAATCACACTTCAGCTCAAACACGAGACCGAAAAGCAAGTGACGATCCAAATTCAGACAAACCAGATCAGATCCCGCAATTTCCCCCGAAATTGCGACCTTCGCGAGGCTAAAAACCCATCGGAAACGAGAGAGACTTACACCAAGGAACGCCGAGCGAGCCGAAATCGGACTCGAGGCCGTCGAACCCGAAGAAGCGGGCGCGGGAGACGGGGTCGTAGGGGTCGGAGATGCAGACGATGTTGCGGGAGTGGCGGATCGCGGAAGGGATGAGGAAGAGGGCGAGGAGGCAGAGGAGGACGCAGGGCCAGGGGCAGACGTGGTTCACCTTGGAGAGGTGGTGGGTGACCCTGGCGGCGAGGATGGAGGCGCGGTTCTGCTTCTTGGTCTTGGACTCGTCGGCGGCGAGGGAGGCGGCGTCCCCGTCGCCGCCGCCGCCGCCGACGCCGCCGCCGCCGCCTTCGCCGTCGTCGGTGTGCGGCGAGGGTCTGCGCATGGAGAGGACTCGCTCGAGCATGGGGAGGAGCGAGAGAGGGAGAGAAGTGAGCGATTCGAGTGTGCCAGCGTGATGTGTCTCTCTCTCTCTCTAGATTGTTTCAATCATCTTTGTCTAAATTTAAATCAAACCCCTAGATTTATTCTAAATCGCATAATTGGATGAGAATTTCATATCTTTCTTACATTTCAACCCCATTCGTATTGAAGAAATCACCAGCATTTTCTAGAAAAGCTTTATCTCTAACCAAGCATTTTTTTTTTATTGAACTTTCCCGAGGAAAATTACCAAAAAAAAAATCTTGAACCTAGTGCAATTGTACCAATTCAGTCTTAAATCTTTTGTATTTATGTCAATTCAGTCCATCCATTCAAATTTAGCAGGCAAGCGTTTACGTGAATAATTTTTGATAATATTATATTTTTTTTCAAATTTCTTATTTTCTTTTCTTTTTCTTTTTTTCCTTCTTTTCTTTTTTTTTTTCCATAGTGGCGGGCGAGGTCACTGGCTGCCTTTGCCCCGCAGCTAGCGAGGCGTGCGGAAGCTTTGGCTTCTACCATACCTTAACCTACTTAGCCGGTTAAGCTAGAGAGCGGAGTTTGTGAATCGTCTTTTGCAGTCCAAAAGACACAACCGAGCCTGTAAAAATTCCATCCATTCATCATGAGGAACAATAGAAACACCAAACGTCAAACCCTAACTGGGGCAAATGTAAATGGCCGTGGCCTCGCGGGCGACGCCAACCTCACCAAGGCCTCGTTAGCCATAAGTGAGGGTTGAGACCCTCGCCAACAGCGCGAGAGGCTTTGTGGCCCTCGCCCAATGGCTGGCGAGCTTCGGTGACCCTCGCTAGGCACTGCTCATTGCCTATAGTGGGTGAAATAAGGAAAAGAAAAAAAAATAAAAATGAAGGAAAAGAAAAAAAATATTAAAAACATTAAAAAAGTAAAAAAAAAATTGTCAACGTCAGCTCCATCCGATCAAAATTGGCCGGGTGGAATAAATTGACACAAATGTATAATGTTTAGGATTAAATTGGCAAAAAAAAAGATCGAGAAGTAAATTTGCACAATTGGAATAGGTTTATGACTTTTTTGGTAATTTCTCAACTTTCCACGTGTGCATGAGATGGATGAATCCGTTTGCCGGATTCGAGTTGAAAGCACGATTTTTCCACCTCGA